TGTTAAGGATATCGGTTCTAGGCGGCAGGTTTTATACACTCCATAACTTGTGTGCACCACCTGTTATTAACATCCAAGCAAGCTCGATAACCATTGTATGTATATTTTCGCAACCATCGTGTATCCCTCGTTGCTAGACGCAATTAACGACTCCACATTACGGGGTGCCCTACTCGTACTCAAATCAAAGTCAATATCTAAATAAAAATATTTGTTTCAATTTGGATTTCTTTAAAGTACTTTGTCTACTGGTTTTGTTATTTTGACGTAGACAGCTGATAAGTAAGCAGCCAGTTCACTATGTAAAGTAATTAACGCCACCCGTGGACATTAGAAGATGCACACCGTAGGTGTTCCGAGTTTATTAATCACGTGCGGCTCGAAAGGGGGGGAAGGGTTGGCAAAAATCACGAAATATCACAAGGTGGTAGGGGGTGTAAACTTTATACATGTTTTTAAAAATAATATTCTAAAAATTTTAAGATTCTTTGTAGGTACTAAAAATACACGTTGTGTACTTGTACAAAGGGTGGGGGTGGGGGGTAGTCTTAAACCTCACCACGTATCACCAACGGGGAGAAGGGGGGTTAAAAAATGCTAAAAAAACATCACAGATTGCACGACTCCTTTTTAGACGAAGCGCAAGTATAATTTCAATTCATGTCGGTCTTGTGAGGTCATGGTCGTTCGTTAGACCTGGCCCGCCTATTCGTGCAACATCATAATTTACTGCGTTCTACTACAGTAAATCAGGAATTGACCAGAATCTGCAAGAAGCTCTGAGGGCATTTATACGTTTTTTTTTAATATCAAAACACAAGTTTGGCAGCAGGTAGAGGGCTTGCAAGTGTAATGAAAAGTTTATCTTCATACATCTTGACTCTTCACTTAAAAAGCCTTAAAAGAAATCTATGTTTTTATTTAAACCGCAATAATAATTATATTAATAATTTTATATCATATGTACGATACTAGTAACATATAAATATAGGTTTACCTTTTTAAACCGTTCTCGATATTTAATGAATTTTTATAAGATCTGTGTAGTCTTTCGTCTTAGTGACGTTGACAAGTCAACTATACAAATGCTAAAATTTATAAGTGAATAAACGGGCATAAGTGAATAAGCATGCCACCTCTATTGTCTGCAGACTTAGACTAGGGCATGTCTGCACTAATGTTCATCTTGCCAAATTAAGAATAAAAGATAGTTCCATCTGTGAATGTGGCCTAGATGATGATTCACCTGATCATATATTTTTCAACTGTCCCAGAATTCCAGGTTCCTTCCATGATCATCTTCCTTCTAGCATCCCTCGTCCATCTAATATCAATAACCTTTTAACATATGTTAATTCTTCATTTGTTTATATCTTGTGTAATTTTATTAATAGTTGTAATATTAAGTTGTGAACTTAGCATAATAATTGCAATCTTATTTTCTTTGTTCTAGGTAATTGCTATAATTATGTAAATTTGTTTAGATATTCTATATTTAAAAATATACATATTTAACATTCATAAAATCATTCTCTTCATCATTTCATTATAAAAGTTAGGCAAAAATAAACAACCAGAAGTGTTCATTGGCGTATTCATTGAAAACCGCCAAAAAAGAAAAGAAGAAGAATAAACGGGCATTATCCTGCACAGATATGACGTAACAACCTGTTGTTCTCATACCCACATCCGTGACGATGATAAGCTGGTTGGTTACAAAAATTAAATGAAAAAGTGAATTTTGGTGGTTTCTGTATCTGGCGGGAAATAAAGATAAGGTTTTTAGAAGTTCAGTGATCCCTTAATTGGTTCACTCAATTTAAAGGTGCGAATTATTTTGTAATACATTTTAATACAATCATAAAAGTAAAGAACATAACTTTCAAATGTAATCAATTATCTCTACATGAGATTCAGTATTTTTGGAGCAGTCTATTTATCTTTACATGACCGTATTTAAGATGGCCTTTTGAAGCATAAATATATAATCTTCTAGTTACAATTGTGAATATAATAATGCTAATGATAATAAAGGATCCTATTTTATTAAATCTATGTAACCTGTTTGACATTGTAACCGCTGCGCTGGGGCCGTTACCATCGTTTTCTTAAACTTAGATTAAAGTGGAATTGATAAAATATTATGTTATTGTTAAAATAAAAATATTAAATAGAATAAATCCGTGAATTTGTTATGAAAAGTGAAAATTGTGTTTTTAAATCTGAATATTAATCCGATACATTGTACCCATTTAGTCATTGCCATCCTTTTTCCTTATATTTTTCACAGTATAAAGATTAAAAAAAATCCGTCCAACAAACTTTTTTATGCAGTGTTATGAATGTAATGTTCAAAATATGAAAATATAATGAACTACTTTTTGGACTATGCATTTTTGTACTTAATCACACCATCGTCTTAGTCTACTCATCAGAAACGAAGGCATGTTGCTTTTTTATATGAGTTTGTAGCAAACGTGCTGGCGTTTCACCTGATGTTAAGTGATAACCGCCGAACATTTGCAACACACCGGACTAGTGGATTTGTAATCCAATTTATTTTACATTGAAGATATTATTTTTCTTTAAAAACTAAGTGAATCATCAACTCTCTCTTCTATCTTATATCTTTGTTGATCGTTGTTTTTTTTTATTTAAAAGAAATATTTTTTTAGAGAAATTTATATTTTGACGCTACTTTACTGAAATCGAATCTATCGCTTATCACGTAGATGGTCCTATATTTAGATTAGTAAAAAGCAACAAATGTTAAAAAAAATTGATAAAAATTGGCTCAGTCAAATTAAAGTTTATGAAAATAAATAACAAAAATTAATTTTTTTTTATCCTTTTTGTATAAATTTTGAGCTTAAATTATCCTTAGGAACTGAATAAGTCAGTTTTGATTGAACTCAATGCCTTTGACGTGGTACTAAAAACATAATAATCATGTGAAATACCTATATATTAGAAAAAAATATGTATGCACGTAAGAAGTTATACTTCTTTAACGTAACAAAAGAAAAAAACTAAAAATTTTATATCCTGTGCCAGAATTCTTTGTGAAAAGGACATTAAATGATAACGGTTTAATTAAATAACTTGGAATTATAGGTAAATCTCAAAAAGTTATTATTGGCTTCTTGGCTGTCAGTGTGCGCGCGCATTGTATAAATTTTAATCTCATAATTTTTTCTAAATCCATCAAAATAAGTATAACTTCAATAAAAAAAACGACAATAAAAATAGAAAAAAGTATTTAATACATTGAAAGAAAAATACAAAATTTATTATAACGCATTATCTAGTTAAATAAAGTTTATTTAAATATCACAAAATAAATATCGTGAATACAGTTGTCAGTAAAGATACATACAGTCTTAACTAACTAACTTCGGGGTGTCGGTTTTTTCGTTTTTTTTCTCTAACGCGCCAAAAGAAGTATAACTTCAAACATATATTAACAATAGTTTTTAATATATAACAGTAAACCACGTTAATAATGGTTGAATTCAAGTTAACTTAATCAGCGGTGGCACCGGTCTTCGAATAACAAGCCCGCCGCGCCGCCAATGTGAAGTATATTTGCAGAACATTACTAACGTGGCTGAGTAATTATAGTTATTGTTTGTTGTGTTACAAAAAACGGACCATTTGTTCTTTGTTGTTTTTATTATAACAGGATAATGTACTCCACCGTGAAGAAATACGTCGAATCTCAAAAATACCTTTTGATTCATAGAATAAAGGTAATCTTTATTAAGGTTCGATTTGATTGATTGTTCATTTCCGGCATCTTTGGACTACTGCTACTAGTTCAGAACTGTGTTTGGGCTACGCAGCAGTTTTATATTTTTGAAAAAGAGCAACTGTTGAGTTTCTTGCCGGTCTTTTCTCAACAGAAACTAATTTCCGAACCAGTGTAACCTTATGAACTATATATATATAATTTTTTATGTAAAATTTGACGATTCATAAGAATGCGCAAGCGTCTATTTGAATAAAGATATTTCATTGATTTGATTTCATTTGCGGAAATATGGTAGGTACATGTGGTTCTTAAGTATAAAATAAAGTTCCTTAGTAAATCACCGCAACCAAAAGTATTTTACTTTCGTTCAAGCGTTTCGTGTTGTGAGTGAGGTAACCAGTGTATAATTCTTTGAAAATTAGTATATTTTTTTTACTTTTTAGTTCGGCTATCTATAAAAGCGAGTTTTTTTGGTTATTTTAAGTTATTGCTTATAACTGATATGCTACACTCAAGATTTGGTGGAATCTGAAGGCGCTGGAAATTGTACGCACGCACGCACGAACGCACGAACGCACGCACGCACGCACGCACATACGTAACCTGCATAAAAATTGCATGCTTTTATGTGGTTAGTGAAACACTATGTGTTAAGTACACACGGTTGATATCATTGTCATCTTGTAATAGACAATAGAAATAATTAAGCTCCGGTGTCCGATAAGATCTGAAGAGATTTTTTTGAAATTAAACACTGAGATTGTCGATTATGATTTATCTTTATATCATTCCATCCATGGTTATTGTTTTTAAAGAATTTTCTAATTACATTAAGCTATAGAATTTTTTAGGTTAAAATATGTGGATTTGTGTTTGTTTCATTGTGTTATTTATATTTTTAATGAAATATTTTCGTTATAATTTTTGCATGGATATCAATGATGTGAGAATAATGATAGGTTAGTAAATGATAATTTTCATTTTATCGCATTAGGAGTATGAGGCAATTTAATTTTTTTTTAAGTTATAATATTATGTTCTTTATTTCATAACAGTTATACGATACCTTACAAAATACTGTTACTTTATTTCATAACAGTTATACGACATTGAAAATATCGTTATTGTATACACGTGGGAATGAAATATGGAAATAACCAAAACTCGAATTGTATAATGATCATTATTGATGCTTACGAACATGACCTTGTTGTAGTTTAAGTCATGACTTGCATGTGTTGAATGATTACCCGTAGCTTCTGGCACTTGCAGCTGCGGATGCTTCAGCACTTGCTTTGGCAAATGACCCTGGTCCTTTTATTCCTTTGCCTTCTTGCTGCTCGATATCCTTGCTACCAACATCACTTCCATACCGTTCACCTTCAATACCTTTTCCACCGCCATTGGAGGATCCACTATTACCGCTTCCGCTGTTGCTGTCACCGCCAATACCAAAACCGTAGCCACCACCAACACCACCCCCAATGCCTTTTCCGCCGCCACTTAATAATCCGCTTTCACCGCTTCCGCTATGGTTCTCATGCCCGTAGCCACTACCAATACCGCCCCCAATGCTACCACTAGCATCGCCCCCAATGCCTTTTCCGCCAGCACTTGATGATGCGCTTCCACTGCTGCCGCTGTGGCTCCCATGCCCAGAGCCACCACCAATACCGCCCCCAATGCTACCACTAGCATCGCCCCCAATGCCTTTTCCGACAGCACTTGATGATGCGCTTCCACTGCTGCCGCTGTGGCTCCCATGCCTAGAGCCACCACCATTACCGCCCCCTATGCTGCCACTGCGCCTTCTCCGCCATAGCCACCACCAATAACTCAATTGCTACCATACGCATCAATTGCTTTTCCGCCACTTGATGATCCGCTTCCACTGCTGCCATCCGACCAATGCTGCCACTGGCACCTGCCAGCATGCCTTCTCCGCCAGCACTTGAAAATGATCCCTTCCACTGCTGCCTGTGGCTCCCATGCCCGAGAGCCAGCCACCACCATGCTACCCACTAGCATCGCAATGCCTTTTCCGCCAGCCACTTGATGATCCGCTTCTTCCACTGCTGCCGCTGTGGCTCCCCATGCCCAGAGCCACCACCAATACCGCCTATGCTGCCACTAACACACCGCCAATGCCTTCTTCCGCCAGCACTTGATGATCCGCTTCCACTGCTGCCGCTTTGGCTCCCATGCCCGGAGCCGCCAGCGATGCCGCCACCAATGCTACCACTAGCATCGCCCCCAATGCCTTTTCCGCCAGCACTTGATGATGCGCTTCCACTGCTGCCGCTGTGGCTCCCATGCCCAGAGCCACCACCAATACCGCCCCCTATGCTGCCACTGGCAGTGCCGCCATCGCCTTCTCCGCCAGCACTTGATGATCCGCTTCCACTGCTGCCGCTTTGGCTCCCATGCCCGGAGCCGCCACCGATGGCGCCAGTGATGCCGCCACCAATGCTACCACTAGCATCGCCCCCAATATCTTTTCCGCCACCACTTGATGATCCGCTTCCACTGTCCGCTGCTGTGTTCCAGCTGTGCCCGAGCCGCCACTGATGCCGCCACCAATGCTACCACTAGCATCGCCGCCAATGCCCCGCCAGCACTTGATGATGCGCTTCCACCTGATGCCCAGAGCCACCACCAATACCGCCCCCTATGCTGCCACTAGCAGTGCCCCAATCGCCTTTTCCGCCAGCCACTTGATGATCCGCTTCCACTGCTGCCGCTTTGGCTCCCGTGCCCGGAGCCACCACCATGATGCCGCCACCAATGCTGCCACTGCAGTGCCGCCATCGCCTTTTCCGCCACCACTTGATGATCCGCTTCCACTGTTGCCGCTGTGTCTCCCATGCCCAGAGCCACCACCGATGCCGCCACCGATGCCGCCACCAATGCTACCACTAGCATCGCCGCCAATGCCTTTTCCGCCAGCACTTGATGATGCGCTTCCACTCTCCCATGCCCAGCCCCCCTATGCTACCAAGCAGCGCCCCCAATGCCTTTCCGCCACCACTTGATGATCCGCTTCCACTGCTGCCGCTTTGGCTCCCATGCCCGGAGCCGCCACCGATGCCGCCACCAATGCTGCCACTGGCAGTGCTCCCCTCGGCTTCTCCGCCAGCCCTTGACGATCTGCTTCCATTGCTACCACTGCCACTGTGGCTTCCATGCCCGGAGCCACCACCAATACCGCCCCAATGCTACCACTAGCAGCGCCCCCAACATCTTTTCCGCCACCACTTGATGATCCGCTTCCACTGCTGCCGCTGTGTCTCCCATGCCCAGAGCCACCACCAATACCGCCCCCTATGCTACCACTAGCAGCGCCCCCAACATCTTTTCCGCCACCACTTGATGATCCGCTTCCACTGCTGCCGCTTTGGCTCCCATGCCCGGAGCCGCCAGCGATGCCGCCACCTATGCTGCCACTGGCAGTGCCGCCATCGCCTTCTCCGCCAGCACTTGATGATTCGCTTCCATTGCTACCACTGTGGCTTCCATGCCCGGAGCCACCACCAATACCGCCCCCAATGCTACCACTAGCAGCGCCCCCAACATCTTTTCCGCCACCACTTGATGATCCGCTTCCACTGCTGCCGCTGTGTCTCCCATGCTCCGCTTTCACCATTTGCGCTGTTGGCCCCATGTCCGGAGCCACCTTTGGCACCATCCTCTGTGTCACTATATCCTCCGCCACCCCCATACCCTCCTTTGCCTTCGTCAATAGTGCCAGTGAAAGCGAATCCTCCAGATTTTCCGTCTTCAGATTTGGTTGTAATTACTTTCTCGTTTTGTCCTGATCCAGCACCGCTAATTCCACCGCTCTGAAGTTTACCGATAAAGTCACTAATTCCTTTGGGGATTTCTTTAAGAGCGTCACCGAAGCCACCTCCACCGGTGCCGGCTTCAAAGCCTAATCCTCCACCTCCACCACCACCTCCGCTGGTGCCACCTCCATAACCAAATCCACTACCCCCACCGCCTCCGGTCCCACTAGTTCCTGTATCGCTTGAGGCACTCCCGTATCCTCGTCGTACTCTACCTATGTGAAAATAAGGTTTAATCACATAAATATTTCCTACTTTGAAAAGTCATAGAAAAAAATGTGATGAATTTATTCGTAATTTGCAATAGTTGTAACTTTTTCTATTTTCGTGAATTGTCTGATTACATAATTATTTGAATGATATTTTATTATTGTTCTTTAAAAGCTAAGGCCGGTTAAATACGAAATCATATTTTAAGCAAAATTTTCATCGCATTTCGGTTTATGACTGTTTATCTATGATTTACTAGCACATAATTGTCTCAATATTGATTAAATTTTATTCTCGACTTAACTTACTCTTAACTTACTATTCGTCACAATAAAGTAATATGAAAATAATTATGATTTCATAAAGAAGTTATTACACTGAGGCATATTATTAAATATATACGGCGTAAAAGTCATTAAACGGTGTTCAGTTTTTTGTTTGAAAATTCAAGGTCGTCTGGAGCTGTTTGTGTATTCAAAATTTGGTATTATTAGTACTTGATGAGATGCAATTATATATTGTATAGCAGCATAAATCTAATTCTTCTGCCACTTTAGATTTCCAGCGTTATTTAGCTAAAGCTTGACTACATTTATACTTTATTGTCATGCCAGATGATAGTAGACACCTTAAGTTGCATAGAAGCTAATTAAGTTAAACACTGCGGTAGGGTCATGCAGTGCTTTTCCAGGGAAGCGAAGTAATAACATTTTTGAATTTCATTTGATGATGAGGTAACGGATGGAACGGTGAGGAGGATGAGATGTGAGTTAACCGGGGCCTATTTTTTAAATGGTGGGCAACGCGTCTCCGCCTGCTCGCTTGCCAACTTTTCACATATGAAGATAAATAAATATCAAAATTCGTAATGCTAGCACGTACATATTTTGTAATGGTTCAAAGGGCTAGTAAATATACCTGTGCAAATATCAAAATGAATATCCTTATTAATGCATAAATTACAAAAGTATCCATTAAAAAGTTGTTTAGACACGGTCTCCAAAAAATAATAAAGCTTATTAGATAACTACACTGTGTCATAAAACATTTCCTAAATAAAAAAAATTAAAATTTCCTAGATAAAAAAATTATTGAGAGGTACTGTACAAGTATCCAATTGTTTAATAATATTAGTTGCTAAAAGCTAATTTCTTGCGGCATCAATTGATTTGGTTCCATAAGCAATAACAAAATTCTAGGAAACTCTTTAATGTCATTGTAATAGGAAAAAAAGGTACCTGACGCCTGTGCTGAAGCTAGCAGGAGCCCTAAACAAAAACAAAGTAGACTTCGTCTCATGGCTACTTGTTCACTTTGACTGTAAACAAACTGGCAAATGTTACCCTTTTTATACTAGGTATTGAAACGTGATTGAGCTCTGGGGAACTCGATTAATTGGAAAACTGACAAGACTCATGACGTACGTATTAAATTAGATCTGCAAACCTGTATGCTTATTTTTAATAGCCTAGAAGCTCATCACGAAGTATAGTAAAGAATATTCCTTAAAAGAGTGACGTGTATTAATAAAACTGTATAATATTTTCGCCTTTATCGTTTGATAATTTTTTGTAATACATGTTTTACGTGTGAATCAGATTTAAAAAAAATATTTTAAAATAGGAAAATAGGATTCATACGTACTGCATTCATACGTACATCGTAGAAGATATGATATCTCTTGGTTTTTTTCGACCATTACATTCTATTAATAAGCATTATTTTTATAATATTTAAGCTATAAAATGAACTGAACAGGCGTTGGATCGGAATGTCGCGAATCATAATTGAGATTTCTATTTTTTTTCTGTTTAACCTTCAGGTACGATAAAAGAATGTTATGACGGAATTATATATGTAGGTCTACATTATTCACACTCATTATTGACAAACACCCAATTCTGGAGTAAATGTCTACTTGAGAAGGATCAAACCAACAAACTTCGGCGCTGAGATCTACATTATAAGCTCAGCAAATGAGCCAGCCACCAAACATTGAAAACTTCTATTTGCAATCTAGCTAGTAGTAACTTTCTTAAAATCTAAGTTCTTGCTTATTACTTAACTAGCGCCCAAAACTGCATATTCTATTTCAAGCTTTGTTTATACACTAAATCGAATAAATTGTTGCAGGCATTGATCGAGTGGTCAATTTCTAGAAATAGAAATAATAAGTAGGCTATGCTTTCCTGTGTTTACGGAACGAAAGTACGGCATATCATAATAGCAGGTTCAAAGCGTCGACTTTTTTGCAAATCATTTTTACACAAAGAAAAGAAAACTCGTCAGTGCACGGTCTATAAAAAGAAGGATGATACAGTATAGTGTAACTATATTTAGGCATAGGAGCATAATTAACGGCCGCTCACAGACAAGTTCGCAATAGATTTGCACGTGCGCACGTTAATTGGACTGAACACATTCCGTGTCGGTAACCGATGACTTTTTTTATTTCATAAGGCGGCATGCGAGCTGGCAGTTCATCTGATGCCAAGTCATAACCACCACCCGTCGTATTTGCGACACCCGGTTGCATATGCGTTGCCAGGTTTCAACAAAGCTGGCCCCGGCTACCTCACTCGAGACGAAACGCAGAAGTGTAACACTTCCACTTGACGCCGTTCTTCTGTGGTACTTACCCGGACGGGTCCGCCCATTCGTACAACAGTGCAGATTGTTGCGTTGTTGCCGACAACGTTAATAACATGTTAAGTATGCGTGGCTGGTGATGACGGTCTTGTACACCATCGTCCTTCTACAACATCTTTGGGTCAAAGATGCGGTGAGAAACCCGTTGTGGCTTTTGGGTGGAAGATGCGGTGCCATACCCGGTGTGTTGCGGCCACCTAAGCACCATACATTGTGTTTGATCGATCATGTTTTGAATTTGAAACCAACGTTAAAACAGTGTACATTAATTTACCCTCCGACCGGGTTCCCGCCTTGACGTGGCAGAGGGGCTTCGTAGCCGTGGCTTGGTCCCCCACGGCGCAGCTAAGAGGAACCCACACTGGGCTGGCCTGTGGTACAAGGCCGGCCCGGAGGGCCGCTCCGAATGGGCTCATTGAGCCCACTCTGAATGCGTGCTAAAGGGTGCAGTGGACAGGTCGACGGTGGTAGAGGTGGAGCCACTATCCCTCTCTTCTGCTACCGAGGAGGAGTCGCGGGGGAAGAGGAGTGTCAGTATTGCGTAGGCCGTGCTCCCTATCCTCCGCGACTCGGCGGGGCTGCACCGCTGATGCAGTGGTGGTGGGCCCGCGGCTGGAGAGGAGTGTCGGTATTGCGGTGCACCGTTCTTCCTATCCTCCGCGGCCGAAACGTGGTGAGCGGCGGAACCACAGACCAAATCCGCCGCTGGGGGATGGGAGGCTTGCTGCTTATTAGCACTGGCTCTCCTGGCTCCCATGGCCCCGGTCAGCGAACTCGGGGGAGTTCGTTGGCCGTGAAAATGGGGCCGAGTAGGAAGGCGCGCTGAATGTTCCAGCTCGCCTTACCTGGAGGAGAGGGGAGTCGCTCCCCGTGAGGGGGCGGTTAAGGCGGCCAGCGCTGGTCGCGAAAATGTGCGAAAGTGTTCCCGTGACCCTGCCGATATGCGCCTAGGTGTAACATCGTGGGGGGTTTTAGTCGGTACGAGTCCGACACAACCCGCTCTTGCCCCAGCGAGGGCGGGTATGCGTAGGCATTTCCCCCACGTCAACAAAAAAAAGTGTACTTTAATTTTAATTGATGACCCAAGTCGATCAAGGTGATATTCAAAATCCTGTTAAATAAATTGGTATGAACCTATTAAAAGTTATGCAGTCGTACCTTTAATTTTCCTTGTATTGTTGTTTTATCTTTATTCTATCAATAACCCGTGTTTTAATAACATAAAAAATCTGAACTATCGAGAACTGTTCGGATCATTTCTACGTAATCTTTATTTTTAATTGATTCCATGTGTAAATTAATAAAGGCCACAAATATTTTTATTGATAATGTTATGGGTATATAAAGCTTTATTGTTGATTAAAACCAATTATCAAATTGCTATCGTTCCATGAGTGAAGCGCATAATATTTAGAACATTAGTATCATATGAGCTCAATTGTATTAATGTTAGGATGTACTTACACTGTTTCTTTGAAAGTTTATAACTGTTATTAGATGTTCCCACAGAGCGCGGCGAGAAACTTTTACAAATTTTTTATAAATTTTTATGTTCTTAAGTGCAGAGTTTAGCGGTATAAAAATGTAAATTTCTAAAAAGCTATGTCGACATCTCTTGTTTGAATTATTGTTGTAAAACGATATTCGAAATTGTTTGTATGCTGGAAAGGATGTAACAATGGATGCGCCAAGCATTGCTTCAAATGCTAAGAAAAACAATGTAGATAAAAGACGTCAAGACTTTCGTCGGAGTGGCAATCAGCCGTTAAGCGAAGTGGCTAGAGCGTCAGTGCGCGAATCGAATCCCGAAGACGTGGATTCGATTCCCACAGTGGCGAGAAACTTTTCGTTCATTTTTTCTACAAAAAATTTAATAAAACTATTTTGGTCCCGTACCAACAATAACTTTGCTCCGGCTACCTAACCACCACGATAATGATATCACCAGTGGCGGATTTGTAGGCTTGGCCGCTCTAGGGCCCAGCCCATGTAGTAAGTTCCAGCCGCCCCTTTCTCAGCGCCCATCATATATCTTGTTATCATCAGTGTATTTTTTTGTCACGAGTGGCCGCCCCTAATATGTGGCCGTCCAAGGCCCGGGCCTATTGGGCTTTAGGGCAAATCCGCCACTGGATATCACCATACCAAATTTCTGTCCCATGAATCTTAAAAATTAAGTGATTGAGGCATTGTGTAGCAGAGTTATCATATTTGAATTTGACACTAAAAAGAAAGGTCAACTTGACACCTGAAGGTCAGGTGTCAAGTTGACCATTCAGTTCAAAGTAATTCGTTGTACTTCATAATCGTATAGACTTATCAACTGTGTGGCCGAAAAAGTAAGGTAAAATAACAACAAATATTTAATAACTTTTCCTTATCGTTAATTATCATCACTTGCTAACCGAAAACGTTGTAATTACACCAAAGCATCGCGAGTAAAGTTTTATGGAAAAACTCGTTTAATTAGTTCGAACGCTAAGGACCAGACGTTGTTTAGCCATACCGCGTGACACCGGATTATTTGGGAAAACACTTTTGTTTGTGAGGAAAGACAAAGGTTGCATTTAATGCTAAAGTTTTTTATTATTCATTAATTTTGTGGCAAATGTAACTATGAAATATCTTATGTTTAATTTCCAACACAAAAAAATGTTTATGCTACATTTTGTGTTCAGTATTTTTAATTAATTGTATTACGTCGAATGCAATATTTTTTTTATGTGGAAAGTGGCAAACGAACTGGCGGTTCACCTGATGTTAAGTGATAACCGCCTGCCCATGGACATTTGCAACCCTCGTAGGGCTGCAGATGCGTTGCCACCTCTTAATAATGTGGGCCCCGGCTACCTCACTCACCAGACGAAACGCAGAAGTGCAACACTTCTACTTTACGCCGGTCTTCTGTGAGGTCGCGGTATTAGTTACAGAAACAAGGTCAGGGCGGACATCCACACTTCCAAATCCAAATCTTTATGCAGAGTGGCCAAAGATGTGTGTAGACTGGAGTTATCATGATGAGAAACCACGAACTTTATTTTGATCCATTTTGGCCATTTTTTTTCTAATTTTTAGCTTGAGTCTCATTAGCTGTTGGCAGTAGAGATGTTTTAAATGGATGTTTTGTTATTTATTCACGAGTAAGTATGTTGATCCCATTTATGTAACATGAACTTAATTCAATAAAAAGAATGATATGTATACTGTATCCAGATATGTTATAGGCATACAAAATCACCGGTCGTAAGTGTTCCTATTTCCAAATAGAGTAACAGCATACATACAGCAGACGTTTCGTTCGAATGGCATGAAAAGGATCTCTATCCTAATTAAAGCATTGAGAAAAAAAAGGACGCCTGGTGTTTGTCATTTTAGCATTAGTAAATTAAACTTATTTGATGTCTCTATCTCCTTTGTTTGTTCCCAATTTGGGACGTTTTCGTGCCTTCACTCCAGGCGCGTTAACAAAATATCTGTAGTATAAAATATCATTAAATAAAAATAATTCTTCCTTAAATGTCAGATATCCAATATTATTGTTACTAAAAATAATTTATTTAAAAATATAAGATATATAATTGTGATTTAATATCGTAATTTTTTTGTTGTGAAAAAGATCCAGGGCGCAGGCAGGAGAAATGAATGTTGATGGAAACCAAATATAAGTAAGTATATTCGTACTAAATTACTATAAAAATTGGACGGCTGAAAAATAAGATCGGGTTTTTTTTAAATTATGTATTTCAAATTGAAAAAAGAAATATCTATTTTAAGTCAATAAATGTTTTTATTTTATTACATGGCGAATTACACTTTTAATTTGTGAATTGTCATAATGAATATGCAGATATTTTTGGCCTTGGGAAATAAACAATCAAATGGTGTATTAGAAAAAAAATATTTAATGCGTATCAATTACCTTATGCATACATTACATTGTATTGCAATTAAAATTAACTTCATTATTACATAGAAATTATATTACGTAGGTAAACTTGAATGCACATTCTTGCTTAAAATTTAATTTTTCATACAAAATAAGAATAAAAATCTTTATATCATAAGAGTATTTATCCGTAACTGTTTGCGTTAGCCGAGGCAGATGCGTGGGCGTTGGCCGAAGCAGAGCCGGCACTATGATCACAAGGTCTGCCCTTGCAACCGTTTTCTTGCCCATGTGGCCTGTAGCCAGAAGAGCTTCCCAAACAAGAGCCTGAGTAACAACCACTATCACTTCGTCTGCTACCGTCATCGTAGCCATTTCCTCCACCTAAACTACCATCAGTCACATCACGACGGTCACCTGATTGTCCTCCATCATAGCCAATTCCGTAACCACCCTCGTTACCGGTGGCACTTGCACCGTTTTGAACTGTGCCATATCCATTTCTTGGAAAATTACGATTGAACCCACTATCGTCTCCCCCATATCCACCATCGTTTCTATATCCGCCGCCTCCATTACTACCTTCATATTGTCCATTCCCATCGTTACCTCTGTCTGTATATCCCCCTAAGCCACCGCTTCCTGAAGAGCCAATACTTCCATCATAGCTGTTACTACTAGAACTGCCCGTATTTCCATTCCTAAAACCATCACCACCGTTGCCACCATTCGTTTGGAAGGCATTCGAATTACCGAAATCATTTTTTCCGTATCTCCTGTCTTCAGAATTAGATTGAATTTCACCGGTATTGCCTCTAAAGCCACTGGCTTCATTGCCTCTATTTGCGCCTTCTTTGAAAATGGCGTCTCCCCCTGCACCGCCTCCAAAACCAAAACCCCCTCCAAAGCCAGCGCCTCCTCCGCCTCCGCCCCCTCCACCGCCACCTTTTCCAAAACCGTAGCCTCCCCCAAAACCGGCACCTCTACCTTCATTTCTTCCAGAACCAGTGTCACCTCTAATCCCAGTGCGTCCGCTTCCATCCCTTGTCAAATCGACGCCACCACCAACTGCTTTCTCAAAGCCAGCATCTCCAGTGGCACCGTTGGCACTCCCATCCAAGCCGGCACCACCACTTGCACTTCCTCCTACGTTTATGCCACCTCCTAGGGCACCACCCAAGCCTCCTAGGTTTGATAGCCCATTGTGAACTTTACCGATAATTTCCTTAACTTTTTGTCGAACACCACCGATGGCTCCGCTCAGAGCACCTCCAGCCCCAATCCCTCCACCACCCCCACCGCCTCCACCGCCTTCATTGCCTATGCCGCCTCCACTGCCGTAGCCGAAACCCTCGCCTCTACCACTACCACCATTCCCACTACCACCACCTCCGCCGCCAAATCCGAAGCCTCCTCCTCCTCCGAAACCAAATCCACCACCGACGCCACCACCAGCGCCCCCACCACCCCCGCCGCCGCCATAACTTTCACTTCGGCGAAGTCGCTCTGTAAAAAAGTAGAAGGCATTAAAAAGATATTCAATAACATAGTTTATGAAAATATAAACCGAATGGTTAATGCTATCCAAGAGATTCACCAGAATTATAATGTAATAATATGCGTGCTACCATGCTACTTATAGATCTATATGAATATGATATGTATAGATCTATATGAATCTTTGACATTTATTATTCTTCTTTTTCTTTATAAACATCGTTGCACATGCTTCAGAAACTTAAGGGCAACATTCTTAAGTATTTTTTGAAAAGCTTTATTGGTTTAAACAAAAATCTACTACATGTGTTGAAATCCATGTTTTCTCATAGTAGAATAAAGGGAGAAAAATTGATCTCATTGATTCCCATACAAAATAATATGTCACGTGAATTGCGCAACAATCTCATGAACATGTAGATAATTGCGAAGATATAATATTTGAACAAAAGAATAATTATTAAATTCGAGACGATTAGAAAATTAGACGATATAGAAACTTTCAAAATCATATGGGTATTTTAAAGATAAAAAAAAATAAATCACATAGAAAGTGAAAAAATTATGAATTCAATGTTTAACGTATTTGAACATTATATTTTCGAAGTACACAATTATATAATGGGTTAAAAAATCAGAATAAATTAAGCGAATGAAATACGTGGCATATTTTAGGTATTCGCTCGAAATCGACATTTTACTTTAAAAAATGCAATATAGTAAAATGAGGTACCTGACGCGTCGCCAAAAGCAAGTAGGGCAACCACCCCAAGGTAGAACAGTGATCTTCTCATAGCTACACCGAGTCTTGACTGCCGATTTCCGAACACGCACTATTCTTTTATATGATTTAACCGTTAATGTAGGGCATAATTGAGAGCGTTCGAAGAAAACAATTGGTTCAAACGACTAGGTATGGCATGACTTTGCCCTATCACTACTCTTTATATGGAATGCAATGGAATGTGTCATCGCAACGGTTTTACCTCATTTTTTCCACTAAGAGCTGAATCGCAGACGTACTCGTAATATAGTCATACTGGTATGTCGCAGTTTCTTCGTCCTCTTGGAATCTAGAAAATTTCCTCGCTTTGTCTGAAGCTTTACTTGAAAAAGGGGGATTGCACAAAAACGACCGTTATTAGTATGGTTCGAACGATCTTTGACATTAAGAAGTTGTGTATGACACTAATGATATGAATTTAAATAATAAAATAGAAATGCGTAGGTGTTGTGGAATAAACGGTTGGGACGAAGTTTCTATCATAGTATATTAATAATAATAATTATACGTTAATTTTTCATTTTAATTTCCAATAACTAAAAATTTTGTCGCACAGAGTATAACATACCTATATATAGTTTGTAATACCTTTAAAAAAACTTAGAACTATTCTTTTCGAAGTATTCTCTTGCTTCTACAACCACGGGGTGTAGAGAATCTCCGCGACTGATCGTATCAAGACCAGATCTTGAGTTGCTGAATACTTTATTTATTGCTTCGGGCAGGATCCATCAATGCAACTTTGCCTTTAGAAAACTACACACACACGTTCCGGTAGAAAAATCCTCCAACTTGACTTTTTTTTGTCAGTTTCTGCGGCGTTATCTCTTAAAGATAATATTGCACCGATCTTGTCAACCTTGCTTCAGTTAGTAAAAATTTTCATTCCCCTACCATTTTATTGTAACCCAGACATATAAATTCTTACCTTTCCAGATCCCGGTTACCAACTAATCACCGGGAAGTCTGGGCCGTTCAGTGGCTGCATATATCCAAAATTTCGGCATTCTGGCCTGGATCTAGTTTTATCGTCTCTCAAGTAATCGTGTTTGATTTTTATCTTAAACCTACTCTTCGGTGATGTAGTCTTTGGTGCCTATGTGAGTAGTTCGGTCAATGTCTTGCACACACTTTGTTAGAGGGAAACGCAACGAAATGGGAAAACATTGTACATTACAAACCACGAATCTCTTAGTTCAAAAAAGAGGGACGACGACGATAACAAGAAGGAGGCCAGTAGGTCGTCCGATGGTTGAAGGGAGTGAAAGGAATTTAGTCATACAATTTCTGCTCACACTATCTAATGTATCCTAAAATCGATTTCTTTTTATTTGAAAAGGCACAAGTGAACAATCGGTTCTTCCGATATTAAGTTATTACTGCCAACTATGGTGACATCTATGAAGTTGAAGACATGTTGGCAAACTTTAAAATAGTGGATTATCCGGTTATCTCATTGAGCCAATGAAACGCGAAGTTAGCACTACACGCTGATTGCGATAGCGGCGTAACAGTAGAAGTTAGTGTGTGACAGTACCATGTAAAAAATATGCAGATACTGTTAATTGAGTTTTACATTATAAAAAATTACATTGTTTACACGTTAGACTTCTTTTGGTTTTTTTAAACAAAACACAAGAATCTTTTACTTAGAACCCTTAGTCCTTTGCCATAATTATTTAAATGGACAAAACGTTAAACTTAACGTTGCCATGCTGTGAAGTAAAGGAATGAGATTTGAGTACAGAGGCTATAAATTATAAAATTTCTACGAATATTCAAAACGAGTATTGAGTTAAGTATTATTACTGAAAACAAACATTGTATCAAACGGTAAGACGGAATTGATTAGTTCAAAGTTTTAAATTAGGTATGAACAATCTAGTGAAATTATTAAAATTAAAAGATATATTGAAATATATTAATAATAGGTACATATGTATCGCTAAAGACACACTGTATTCCAAATACTATATCAACAAAAATAACTGTTCTTCGTATCAAGGCAATCGATATATAAATGAATAAATTAAAAATAGAAATAATTCCAAGATATTTCACAACAACAAATTATAAAAACTCCGCAATTAATGCGATTAGGTCATGTTGACGCACACTTGGCTAATTATCCAGTGGTAAGTTAAGGCAATTAAAGAATCTGAAGTAAACATCGGTCCTATAACGTTTATTTTCTTTTGTGTATTTCTATTCAATAATTCTACAAGTATAGCATATTTCGATGTTTTTTTTATATAAGCAAGTGGCTAGCAAGCATGTTGTTCGTATCAGGTTTTGTGGTTACCCCGGCCAATGGACCCCTTGGGTGTTTTAGATGTGTTGTCAACTTTTAATAGCGTTGCCAACTTTTAATGAGTAAGGTAACCGAGGCTAGTGGTCCAGGCGAAACGCAAACGTATAATACCTCTATTTCTCGTCGGTTTTCTGAGAGGCTTCCTTGGTTGACCCATCGTGCAACAGGTTCTACCGAGCAGCTGTTGCACGTTGAACAGTGCACAAATATGCCTACCACTATATTTACTGGGTGCAGAGTTTACTTTTTTTTTTTTTTTTTTTATGCGAAAAGTTGTCAAACGAGCAGACGGTTCACCTGATGTTAAGTGAATACCGCCGCCCATGGACATCTGCTACACTCGAAGGTTACAGATGCGTTGACAACCTTTTGAAAATTGGGCTCCGGCTACGTCACTCACCAGACGAAACGCGAAAGTATTTGTCAATATATACTTACTTACTATACACGTTTAATCGAATACTCATAATCAGTAAGTTACAGATATCAAGTTTTGAAAATATATAATATTTCGTTAGGTAATACATCACAGGAGATCGAAGAGCTGGCAGCTACCTCGGACAAAGAATTAGTATAGCTATTCAAAGGGAGGAACGCTGCCAGTATCTTCGGAACCTTGCCTAAAGAGACTCCTTTTAATAATATATTTTAGTTATTATATTTTTTAAGGTTTTTAGTTTTAGGTTCATTGTTTTAGTATATATTTTGTACTAGCTACTGCCCGCGACTACGTCTGCGTAGAATAGGCTGAAGGCGTAACATTCAGACAGAAAGACAGATATACATAAAAAATGTATATAAATTATAGCCTATGTCTTATTCTGATATATAAGCTACATAATTGTAAAGTTTCATTAAAATCCATTCAGTAGTATTAGCGTGAAAGGGTAACAAACATCCATACATACATACAAACTTTCGCCTTTATAACATTAGTAGGGAAGTGAGAATTAGTTTATCATTTGAATGTTATTTAAGTTTGCTAATATTTGGTTTACCGGTCATTTGTTTTTTTAAGATTTTTTTTCGCCGAAAAAGAACTGATCTTCGTCGATGTGAGAAAACCGAACTTGCGCTCGTATTTCGATGCATTTGAATTGCAAGCTAGATGCTCAACTCGACGTGACAATCGCTACGGTGATGTTTAATTTCAGTTACTCGGTATTCAACTCGACGTGACAATCGCTACGGCAAAATTTCAGCTACATCCTCATATCAGTTTCGTGTCATTAATTCATATTATCTTTTTTTTTAAAACAATATCAAAATTTTGGGCCCGGTGTGTCAGACGTACTATTAGAGGTTTGGGAATTGCTTTTGTTGCTGCTTCGGTCTATTCCGAATTTAATTTCCTTACAGACACTTAAAGCATTAAATAATTACATTTGAGACGTCATTTTGATTGAACTTATTCGAGTACAACGTCTTAAAAGGCGATCGCCCGGATACTAAGGTGCCGAGGCCTAGAGTTTAACTGTAACACGAAGAAATAATTTATTCTAATAGGAGGTCAAACACTTAATGTGTTATTTAACGCTATTTATAGCGAGCGTTATCAACAGTTAGATCTGAGAACGATTAAAATTATATGTGAAGATTTTTTAGGGTTCCGTGCCCAAAGGGTTAAACGGGACCCTATTACTAAGACTCCGCTGTCTGTCTATCTGTCCGTTTGTCATCAGGCCGTATCTCATGAACAGCGATATTTAGACAGGTGAAATTTTCACAGATTATGAATTTCTACCGCTTTTACAAAAAAAAACTATAAAACAGAATTTTTAACGTTTTTTTTTATTTTAATCTGAATCGCTATTATTCTAACTTGACAAAACCGCACTTCATTACATTAACGTTCAGCTGTCAAATGACTTTTTAAATGATATTTGAGTTGCCAAAACGATTGTTAAACTGCTGATTTGTTAACTTCAAAGATAATTAGTGTTTCAGGAACCGAGCGTAAATTTTCGTGTTTTCAATACACCCACCAGCGGGTGAAAACTTTTCTCGGTCTACACTCAAGTGCTCATGTGTCCGTCTGTAAAATTGATTCGTCATCGATCTGATAGCTGGTTATCTTTGAGACCTTACACCTCTCTTAGAATTTTTGCACATTTCTTATTATGTTGATTTTATATGTTTTCTCGTCGTATCGCGTAAATTTTAACGACGTACAATTTTACGCTCATGCAATCACTGCTAGCGTTACAGTAATAATTTAGATGCTTAATATGGACTTAGGACATTTTGAAAATTGGTCTTCTAAGTTTTATTCCGGTCTATTTCCGACAAAACTTGTCCCTATATTCACAAATCATAATCACATTTTTCTTGCTGAGCCTCTATCATCTTAAAAATTTATATATTAAATTATATCTATATATTTAATGGAATCCAAAGTAACACTCGTGCATGCCTTGATTGTTCTTTTAATATGACAGAAGGTGGTAAGCGAGCTGACGGTTCATCTGATGTCAAGTTATCGTATTGTCATTGGTCATTATTTGGATGCTGTTGCGGTACTATACAGTAGCTGTGGTAGGGCCACGCAACAGTCTTCGCTGTTGCACAAATGGGCAGGTCCGTCCGGGTAAATACCACGACCTCACAGAAGACCGGCGTGAAGTGGAAGTATAGTTAGTCTTCTCCGTTTAGTCTTGTGAATGAGGTAGCCGGGGCCCACTTTATTAAAAGGTGGCAACTCATCTGTCACTCTACGGGTGTTGTAAATGTTAATGGGCGGCTGTTATCACTTAACGTCAGGTGAACCGCCAGCTCATTTGCCACCTTCTAACAGAAAAAAACTTTGCTAGTCTCTGCACACAAGGTTTCACTTTAAATTTGATTGTTTTCTAGATAATTGGACAATAACTCTTGACGCTGCGGGATTCAAACGTGCATGTTCCGGGTAACGCGCCAAATTTTGCCAATTAAGCTAAGCAGCCAATGATCTCACGGCGCAATAATGTTGACACGTATCATTAATGCCTATTAATTCCTAATATGCAATAACTTTATTGCATAATTATTAGGAATGCTAGTAAGTGCATAATTATTTGCATTAAAAATCTGTAACTGAAATCAAAATTTTGAAGTCAAGTATTCATCATATCTACATTACATTAAGTATATACAGTACATTCCCACCTTGGCAAATAATAATAAATGAATGAAGTAACTGAATTTTTTAGTTTATGTTTAGTCTTTTACAACGTAAACTTTTAGTCCCCTTTGATTGAAAATAATAAAAGTGGGGTGAACCAGTTTGACCAAACTGACAGTTGGGTCAAGTTCACGCCAAATAAATTAAAATCAAAGCATAATTTTTGTTCGTTTTTTTTATTATTTGTCAGACTGTTATTTAAGAGAAATATAGAGATATGACTTGTCCTATTAGACCAAATTATGAATACATCATAAATATACAAAAGAAAAGGTCGATCTTTTGGTGCAACTGAAGATTATGTTGTGAACAACCAACCAACCTACTTTCGGATCTAATGATCGCACATAGTTGAATTTACTCTGGCCAGTTTAAAATTTTCCATAAAAATATGCGTTCTATTAGAAAACTATATGGAACACGGCTCTTACAACTCATGATATTGTCTGAAGGGATTCAAGTTTTAAATTTGTAGAGAAAGACTAGTTATAATTTTGTCCCGATTGGCATAGTGGATAATTAACCTGACTTGTGTGATAAATTTTATGTGATGAACGTAATTTTTTTCTCGTATCTGCATTATTGTATGTCTATACTAATGACCCTACCCGGCTTTGCACGGGTCAAATTGTGGATTCTAATGTGGGGCAGTGTAAATTGAATAATGATATTATGATTATGATAAATCTATACTAAAGGATATCTTTATTTACTATATTTTTCAATTTTTTTCCATGATACAGTACAAACATCTTTTTAGGATATACAATATCGTAGTACATTAATTTGATCTATCTCGTAAGGTTTAGCCAGCGCATGCTATGTAAGCGCACAAAAATATATTTGTTATTACATCACATTACAATTAATGTTTAGATTTGTCGGCTTTGTTTTATACTATGTAAAGATTATGTATTTTTTTATAAAAGTAAAGTATGTTTATCAGTTACCTAGTAGCTATAGTACAAGCTTTGTTTATTTTGCGACTAGATAACGTTGCGAAAGACTGACAACTTTTCACTAATTATGTTTGAAAAAGACTCGTTGAAGTGAACTTGTAATTTTTATTTAGTCAAATTACAAAAGTCATCCCTTTTTCAAAAGTAAATAATTGTAAAGATAACCAATTTTTTTTTCTTACACTTTATTCATATAAAAGTTAGCATACGTAATTAGCACATGTTAGCATAATTACTATATAATCACAGAACAGTAATCAATTCGAATAGAAATTGGAATTCTTATTTTAGCTTAAAGTAAATAATATTCGTATAATTTAACAATTACGGTAAATGTACAATGAAAAAATCGATCCAATTATAGTCATCGTAGTAAAGAGCCAATTCAGCCGTATGTGCTTGCGCTGGCAGAAGCGGACGCGTGAGCACTGGCAGATGCGAAAGCGCTGCTGTGTTCATGGCTACTATAACCACCGCAGGTGCCGCAACCACCACCCTTCGAGTAGCCACTGTGAGTTCCAGCACCAGCACTGACACCGTTGCTGCCGGCAAGGCTATGGCCACCACCAATTCCACCACCCAGGCCTCCTCCAAGGCCGCCTCCGAGTCCGCCTCCAAGCCCACCTCCGAGCCCACCTCCAAGGCCCCCACCTATTCCGGAACCACCTCCAAGGCCTCCTCCTAGACCACTTCCACTTCCTCCGTAACCTTTTCCACCAGAACCAGCACCGAATCCATTGCCACCCCCAAAACCACCTCCCCCGCCAAGTCCTGCACCGCCTCCGAGCCCACCGCCTAAGCTTCCGCTACTACTTCCTCCAAATCCATCCTTTTCCTCCTTGGCCTCCAGATCCTCCATGACTTGCACCAGTGCCACCACCAAATCCATTACCACCTCCAAGTCCTAGTCCAGAACCACCTCCTAGTCCCCCACCGGCACCACTTCCTCCAAATCCACCTTTTCCTCCTGAGCCTCCTGTAATACTGGATCCTCCATGAATGAGACCTGAGCCGGTTCCTCCACTATATCCTCCTCCTAATCCACCTCCCCCACCAGCGCCACCCCCAAGTCCACCCCCAAGTCCTCCAGCTCCTCCGAAACCAGATTTTCCTCCTGATCCTCCATGACCAGATCCTGAGCCGGTGCCCCCGCCAAATCCGTTACTACCTCCTACGCCTCCACCGCTACCAAGTCCAACACCTCCTCCGAATCCTCCGGAGGCACCGCCTGAACTTCCGTGGCTTGAACCCGAACCATAGCTTCCTCCAAATCCATTACCGCCTCCAAGTCCACTACCTCCTCCGAGTCCAGCACCACCACCAAGTCCAGCGCCTCCGCCTAGTCCTGCACCGGCCCCAGCTCCACCTCCAAAGCCGCCACCGTGGCCCCCGTTTCCTCCGTAACCACCTTTTGCTCCTGAACTTGCTAAACCGCCAGATCCTCCATGACCAGATCCAGACCCGGCGCCTCCGCCACCCCCTAGGCCTCCACCACTTCCAAGTCCAGCACCTCCTCCGAGTCCTCCTTCAAGGCCGCCTCCAGATGCACCACCAAAACCACCTGAACTTCCATGGCTTGAACCCGAACCAGAGCTTCCTCCGAATCCGCTACCACCTCCGACTCCACCACCTCCTCCGAGTCCAGAGCCACCACCAAGTCCAGCGCCTGCGCCTAATCCAGCACCACCCCCAGCTCCACCACCAACGCCGCTACTGTGGCCCCCGTTTCCACCATAACCACCTTTTCCTCCTGAACCTCCCCCAAAGCCACCGAATCCTCCGTGACTCTGCCCTGAGCCGGCGCTACCACCAAATCCAGTTCCGCCTCCAAGTCCACTCCCCCCACCAAGTCCAGCTCCTCCTCCGAGACCACCTCCAATTCCCCCAGAGCTTCCACCTAAGCCAGCTGATCCCCCATGGCCAGATCCTGAGCCATGGCCTCCTCCAAATCCGGTACCGCTGCCGCCAAAGCTTCCACCATTATTTCCGCTGGATCCCCCGCCTCCAGTGTGTCCACCCAATGCGCCGCTACCTCCAAATCCATTTCCAGTTCCTCCGAATCCTCCAGATCCGGATCCACTTCCAGTGCTGCCAGAGCTTCCTTGACTTCCACCGAAGCCAGAGCCTCCACCACCTCCAGAACCTCCACCCGTACCGTCACCAGTGGCACCACCGTATCCAGCGCCCCCACCATAGCTTCCACCCGCGCCGCCATTGCTGTATCCTCCGCCACCTCCGTATCCTCCTTTACCAGAATCCAGTGTACCCGTGAAGGCGAAGCCGCCAGATTTTCCATCATTGGATTTTGTGTAGATAACTTTTTCATCTTTCCCGCCTAATCCTGAACCACCGCCTACCCCGCCTCCAGCGCCTCCTCCCGCCCCACCGCCTAAACCAGCGCCGCCTCCTATGCCGCCTCCAATACCGCCCCCAAGGCCTCCCAAGTGCGAGAGTCCGGAGTGAACTTTGCCAATGATGTCGTTAACACCTTGGCGAATTCCATCTAGGCCTCCACCAAGACCGCCACCTAATCCGCCGCCGAGACCTCCTCCGAGGCCACCGCCTGAACCGCCACCGAAGCCGCCGCCGCCGCCCCCCCTCCGCCTCCACCGCCGCCGTATCCAAAGCCCCCACCTCCGCCGCCCCCGAAACCAAAACCGCCCCCGCCGCCGCCACCACCACCATAGCCTCCGCTACGGCGTATTCTCTCTGAAAAACATCACATAATACGGTGCTATAGTTCTTTCATGACATAATATACAAGATTATTAAAATAAGAACTCAATTTTTAGTTAGGTAAATTTATTAAGCATTTTAAACTATTTTATTTGAATTAGTAGTATAAATCTACAGTAACAAGTATTGCTACGGAAACACAAGTTAGTAACAAGAGATTATTAAATCGTTTTAGAAGCTATGAAATATAAGTACAAAATTAATGTTTATTGTATCATTCGATCAAAAACAAATTAAAAAAGAAATATGTTCTTAAGAGAGTTATTTTCGTTTTAATTGATGAAATTTGTATAGAATGCAAATTATTCTGTTTTGTGTCTAAGGTGCTTTTTATAAATATGCTATCAAACTACTTGGATACAATACATACATAAGTAAAAAGAATATTAGACAATTTAATTTAATAAATTGTTGAATAATGAACCTTAGGCTACTTTTTCGTAAATCTGGGAGAAAACAGTTAAAACACAATATCTTGACATCCTATACGTATTTGTGTTTTTTCGTCTCCAAACTTGCAAACAGATTTTACGATAAGATATATTTTACGATAAGATATTTTACGATAAGATATATTTTAAATTACCTGATGCTTCGCCAAAGGCGAGAAGGGAGACCAATCCAAAATAGCACAGTGCCCGTCTCATGGCGGCCCGCTCACTTAACTGAAGATGACTTAATACGCATAACCCTTATATACATCTTAACGGAATAGAAACGACGTAATCGCTATCGTTTGTGGGAAGACATTCGCGAGTACTTGGAAACAATCGCTTGTTTCGACTATGCTTCTACGGCGGATTTGCCTCAGTCTCCTGTTGATAATAAAATATTAGTTCATAGTATAACTCTAGCGCGCTTTGATATAGAGTATTTTTATTTCATATATAAATTAGAATTCTCATAGTATTAATAAATTACCTTTAGTAGTATTTGAATAAACACGTCTGTACCGTTCCATGTAAGAATTGAAGCTTCAAATTGAAAAAAGGTCAGTGTGAAGTATGGAGGCCTTAAAACAAAGAACAACATTATGAGTGATTAAGTTGTTTTCTAACAGGGTGTTAATGACTTCCGCTATCGCCGGAAGTGTTTTATAAACAATTTTCGCACCGTGACAGTCAAAGAATATGAGAGATTCGACAAGGAAAACTCTTAGAATATTCTGATCATTAGATTGCATCAAAAGATTTTAGAAGACATGTATAATAATAATAATAATATTTATTTGTAATCAAAAACACATCTGCACATTACAATAATAAAATAAAAATAGGTATTATACAAACAAAAATAAAATATTAAAAGTGACAGATATATTAGGACTACAATACAAATGTTTCGTCAAATCATAATTTATTGTCAACATCACACTAGGCATGGCCTGTATCGTGAGTTCCTCTTTACATGATTGCCAAAATCGCTCGTTTGGTAAAGCGTTAGTATCACTTGGAGATTTTTGTTTTGGTATATTTTTATTGGCGTAAACTTTGTAAATAGTATGCAATATAATTAACAAGATTCACTATATTGATAAAGAAACTGTTTATGTAACATTAACGCCTTCTATGTATCAATTATCGATTTATTACTGTAAACAATTTTCAGAATTACGGTTATAATATTATTTTACCGTTATATAGCAGAATTACATTTTTGATAACGTTCTCCGAACGTATCTTCCTTGTTAGTATAATTTGAAAATAATTTCTTCCGCGAACTCGTTAAGGGAAATTTTATTATTTAAACCTTACATATATTATCAAATAAATTATACGAAGCGAAAATTGACCTTTTTTGTCCTTTGCAATCTTATGCGAAAAAAAAAACCTTTAATACTTCAGTTTATAACCTTCAAATTTAAGTACGTTAACTCTGGTTAAACCTGCAATGTGCAATTGTTTCTTTAATATCACTGGTATTTGTATCCCCTGTACGGCGGGGCCTTCCCACCTCCTACGTTTGCGACTAAATAATCTCAATTAGACTTAGAAAGCGTTAGCTAATCCTATCTAGCTAGCTATCCTATCTAGCTAGCTAACCCTAATTTAGATTAAAAAACGTGTGATTTAATTTGTTTTTCATTTCATACTTGTACTGCGAATTACTAAGTATGGCAATTTACTTTCAAAGCATTAAATTTCGCTTATTATTTATTAACAAAACTTTAATCAAATACAAAAAGTTTGAGATAAAATTGAAAATGAACCTATTGTTACGGATATAATATTTATGGTCATTGAGTCGGTAGTACTGGGTAAGTCTCTTAGATTGATTTTTGGATACTAGAATCGTGGGAGCTAATAATGTTACGCGGCAGCTTCTGATGTTGCACGTACGGGTTAGCTCATCCGGGGGAGTATCATGACTGATAGAGAGAAAGTATGAGTAGAATTCTCAGACATGTGAGAATTCTAGCTCGAGGTATCTGTGTACTTGGGATCTCTGATACGCAATCAAGTACGTATATAGGTTATCAAAACAACAATAATTAAGTTAACCAGAATCTGACAAAACAGGTAAGTGACAGTCGAATACCGTCAAGACCAGACTCGTGCGAGATTTGGTATTATCAATGTTTCTGATACCGCTGACTCCCTTTCAGATTTCATAGACGCTGTGCTGCAACCATTCTTGTTAATTGATCATATAAGTATTATTCTCATTGAACTTAACGACGAATAGACGACTTAAAAACATAGCATCTGGGCGTGTAATCGGGAAATTCAATTCCTGGTAGCAGCGTAAATAGTTTCCGACTCATTTTAAGTTCATTAGGCATGTGAAATAATTACCAACTATATGTACAGCAGTATAAAGCTGCATAAAACGGAATCTACAGTAAGAATTAGAAAAACAAATTTCAAAATTAACTGTGTTAACATACAAATACGTTTATTATATTATAGTACCTGGAGGACCAAGCTTTGCTCGGTTTGTGTTTTTTTTTGGTAAATCGTGTATTTTGAAAATTATATTTAGATACAAATTACTGAGAATTAATTATGAATAATATTTTTCGATCTTACCGACGTAATAATAACAAAATATGAACTGGTGTTATTCACAAAAGAAAGAACTTTAAAAAAAAGGGAAAAAAGAACAAAATCATCTGGATCGACAAAAAAAAAATAAAGAAAGCGATGCTCTGGAATCGAAAAAAAGTAAAAAAAAGTGTGTGAATGATCGTGACACGAACCGCGGTCGTCTCTTTTGGGGCCGCCCTATTACCGACCGGGCTATTATAACATTTTTTTTTTGCGGCGAAATTTACCGTCGTATTCGAATGATATTTTTCATTCCCTGTAAATAGGATAAACGGACACTTTATAAAAATAAAACCTAGCTAGATCGATTTTTCGCCCCCGGATCTACACACATACTAAATTTCATGAAAATCGCTGGAGCCGTTTCCGGGATTTCGATTATATATATATATATATATATATATATATATACAAGAATTGCTCGTTTAAGGGATAACAGATAAATTGCTACAGTCAGCCATTATTAACATTATCAAATTTAACATTATGGCTATATAGCGCGTCCTTGTTCATGTCTGAAATATCTATAAATTCGTTTGCGGTTTTTACAGATCTATTTGTAAGAACCGAGATAACAAGTTCGATATTGTCGTATCTCGGCGCAGCGGGCGGCGTTGACTTTGCCTTGAACTTACGCCAATTAATACTAACAGAGTAAACAGTAAACCAACTTCGGATCTAACTTATGGTATGTACGCTGCGGAGTTATCTGATGATCGTCAGATAGTTATGGGATAGATTCAAAGTCGAGAGAGAAATTCGTAAGGTATTAAATTTAGGTTTTCTGTAGCTGCAGCTTTTGTAGGGCTGTTACTATACACTAATATGTTAGGGAAAAAAAAAAAAGAGATGAAAATATTTTCGATTAAACAATAGCTAATAGGAATAGTGATAGAATTCTTTTGGAACAAAATCGTCAGCCATGTTATTTTAAGGTATGAAAACTCATCTCCATATTGAATATTATGATTCTGTTCGCGCCGTGATTTGAATTAGTAATTTGTTACTTCTGTTGAATGTGTAACAGTCTAGGAATGACAATGTTCTTATGTCAAATAAGTAAAAAGACTAAAATTTCGTTGAACATTTTCTATTAATATACTGTGTCTTCAGTTAATCTTTAGTAAGTCTGTCCACTGCGGTAATGCGGTCTAGTTGATGGTTACGTGTTATCTGATGCCTATAATAAATGTGCAAGAATTAGACTCTTTAGTTCCGTTTTGATAACTTTGATTAGAGTTTTCTCGATAACCACCTTGATAGAAAGAGATAAATTGTATTTTGAAATGTCATTTATAATGAAAATGATTCTGGATATTTAATGATTTTGTTTGCTGTACTTTAAATCTAACTCGACTAAGAGATGACAGAACGAGCATTTAATCTTCAAGCATTGTTCGCTTCTGACGTCAGTTGTTTGTTCTGCCGTTGATTCGATATTGATATGATTGTTGTGGTAACGAATATAATATCCTGTTCATTTGTTATAAAAAAGAAGGGAAAAAAATATTTAAATGGTATTAGTACAACAATCACACCGATGATTCCATTTCAATGCCTTCTACAATTCGCCTTTAAAAAAAATGTCTTTTTCATTATTTTCGATCTGTAGTCCGCGGCTTTGTTAGCGGAATTTTGATTTAATAATCCATGTAAGTGGATTATAATAACAGGATTATGCTTCGAAATTTACCCACAAAAATTATGCGACTTCTTAAATTATTCATTAGATCATTTGTAGAAATTATTCATTTTCCGGGATCGGAATTCTCATTAAAGAAAACAAATAACGACACAAAACAATCTGTTGCTCTGTGTTTTTGTTTCAATATCATTCGTCTGATCCATTTTTGAACGTTAAGAGGAAAACCAATGAGTGAACGAATAGGTCACGATTTTTATATTCATCTCACGATTTAGTTTATTGGAAGCTATCGCTGATGGTGACTTCTTGTAACTTTGCGGTCTTTTAACAAACCACTTGTAACTCCGCAAGTAGCTATTGATATATAAATAGCTGATAATTTCTTTACATTATTACATAGTTGATTAAGGTAATTGTCGTCAAAAATAATACGTTATTTACGTATTATTTTTGAATCATTAAATATCAATGTACCTATTTTATATTGCGCCTCCGAAGCTTTACTTAGATAAACGGTAAATAAACTCGTAATTATCCGTAGGTAACACAAAAACTTCTCCCACGCGGAAACGAAAACTATCGCATACTTAATTTTCCAACCATCTACCCCTCTGCCAATTTGTTGACTAAGAAAAAAATCACTTGTCACTCAGAGGGAAAACATAAACCGCTACTTATAAGTTTTACTAAGTCATTAAGAAAAACGGCATAATATTATTAAACGCATCCTACCTATTTACTTGTTCACCTTGTCATTATTTGTTTCCCGTTTCCGGGATTGTGTTTGCCGACTGGCTTTGAATTCTGGATGTTAAAATTATTGTTATTGAAGTAAAACTTCTTTAGGCGCTAGGACTAGGGAGTAACTCAGATTTTTTCTGACGGAAGTAACGCTTTTACTGACGGAAGTAACGTCATAAGTGTATGTCATATTTTTAAAATATGACATATACTT